ACAAACCGACAAATACATCAGGTTCGGGCCCCATTAGCAATCTTAACTAATTATACATATCTATTAATTCATAAAATACCATTTTATCATTTATTAAGCTTTAATGCCGTGATAGGAAATAGGGTGAGAGATCCTTATTTATTTCAGAGTCTGAAATCGGGTTCTCACTGCACCTACGGGCAGTCCCTAGATAATCTAAATTTTTTCTTGAAAATTGAAACACACTTTCGGTACCTGCACATATCCCCAAAAAATCCCAAACCAAACCCAGGGCCTTTTTAGCCAATTTTGGAATTCTGGCACGGCAGCTCCGTCGTGCTCCGGCGACGGCGCTGCCGCCCATGGCGGCGATCCGCCTCGGGTTGACCGTTTCCGGCTGAGCTTGCATTGGTTTCTGTGATAAAACACCCTTAGGGTCCTCGGTGGGCCAAAAAATTCCAGAAAACCGAGACTTACTGCGACGAAGCGCTCGGGTGCAGTAGCTCTTCCGGCGCGAGTTGCGATTTGATATTTTGCTCCGGTTAACCTGTAGAGAAAAGGACGGTGGTCATAGTGATATAAAAATTATATCGAACGGGAACCAGGAAGGGCCTTATCGGAGGCAAAAATCGAGGAAACCCGCGACGGCGCCGCTGGACTTCGGCGGTGTTTTCTGGCCAATTGGCTGGTGGTTTGGCTTTGATTTGGTCACATGGAGGTTCAACATCAAAAAACAAGCCAAGGGGAGAAATTTTACCTCGTTTGGCGGCCGAAAAATCCTCTGGTGCGGTGGCGGGTGGCGGCGGCCGGTTCCTCCGGTGGCTGGGTTGTCTTCTCCGGTGAGGGTTCTGGCGGCTAGGGTTTGGGGTTGGGTGTGGATGCGATTATTTATAACATTCTATTTTTAATCTGAGCCGTCCATCACGGTTTAATCTGGACAGTCCGATCGGGATTAAATTGGAAATAAATTTGGACTGTTCGATCGCGATTAAATTGGAAATAAATCTGGGCCGTCTGTGCGCGTAGAAACGGATTTGAGCTGTCTGATCGCGCGCAGGCGGATCGCCCACGTGTCTCCGTCCCTCGTGGCTTTCCGCCTCAGCGTCCCTGCCACGTGGCGTGTCTTGGTTGACCGGGGCTACTGATGCGGCTGCTGATGTGGTGCTATTTTTCTAAATTGCGTTTTGACTCACGATTTTCAATTTTCTTTTCCAAAACACCCCAAGAATCTAATTTTTCATCTATTTTTTCCAAAATCAATTTGAATTAAATTCCAAAAATAATTTTACTCCATATTATTATTATTATTATTATTATTATTTTTATTAAATTAAATTAAATTAATTATTAAAATAAAATAAAATAAAACAAAATTTTAATAAAAATTAAAATAAAATAAATTTTTTTTTTGGGTATTACAGATCAAATGCTGAAACATAGAAATAATCTTGCTTGTCCTGCTAATGGCTTTTACATCTATGATGCTTTTATTGCGGCAGCCAAGTTCTTTCTCGGTTTTGGCACTTATGGTAGCATCGATGATCGTAAGAGAGAGATTGCTACTTTCTTCGGTTAAACCTCCTATAAAACAACTGGTAATTTATTAAGTTCTATCAATAAATTTTTTTTTATGTCAATTAAGTTTCATAATTTTGATAAAATCCGAAAATTTCTTATTAAAGTATTTATGCTTGCAACTAGTCAAAATATAATTGATCTTAGTTGATAACTCCTTATGATTAGTCTAAAATGATCTGATGCGTGGTATATATATTTTTTCTCTCAGAAGCAATATTGCAGACGGTAAGTTGAATTTTCTTTCTGGGTTCAATTATATATTACAGATCACTGTATATATATGCATATATGTTTATTTCAGTAAGTTGGTGAAATTAATGTTAAATTAATATAATGAACAGGAGGGTGGTCAAGTGCACCTGATGGGCCATATGCATGGGGGTATTGCTTTCTTAAGGAACGAAACCCAAGCAGTAAATACTGCTCTCCAAGTTCCAGATACCCCTGCGCTCCTGGTAAATCATATTATGGCAGGGGTCCTATCCAACTTTCCTGGTAAGTATATATATATATATATATTGTATTAGAATATGTTACTTATAAATATAGGGTCCATCATGTAATTATCCATAAATTAATTCCTTTATATAAATACCCCTTTGTTCTCACTTGTACATTATGTAATTAAACTAGTTTAATTTTAAAAGATGAAGTTTTTTATTAGTTAAATATTTATTATTAATTAATTTATAACATAATTAATTAAATTAAATATGATACTTTATTTTAAAAATACTTTTTTTTAATAAATTTTATCACAATCTTTTAATTTAATTTTACGAACTAATTTTCTTAACTAACACGCATCAACCGCGCGTGCGTGTTTTACATTTACCGACATGTTTGTCTTTAAACGAATTCGGGGAGGGATAACAGAGAATCCCTTGGTTTTCCTTCAGTCCCCATTTTCGTTTCTCTCCAAGCGCGCTACGAATCGGAGCCTGCTGGAGGTTGGCTTCTCTTTGTGCTCCACCGGAATCGCTTTCCTCGTCGTCGCTTGTCGCCACTAGCCGCTGGTCTTCTGTCCAGTGAAATCCTGTTATCCTTGTCATCACTTCTCACCGTAGCTTCTGGTATTTGCTTCAATAAAACACTTGCAAATTCAATTGTTTATCTTCCTCTCAATTTATAGCTGTGCAAAAGCTTCAATTTTAAAATCCTCGCCGTTTCTGCTCATCAAATTTAAATTGCGTTGTTTTTGGTTTTGAAGCATCTTATGAAATAGTCTTTCTTGGTTTCCAATTTCTGTTAACTTTCCGGAATAGTTAGGGTATTCTACGATCCACATTATATAGATAAGACAAGTAGAGAAACCGATAAGAGAGAGGAATTTTTAATGAACAATTGAAATAGCTTTATATGGGTTGTCTTGTGCCTGCCATGTGTTTGTTGATTTGCCCCAGTTTCTTATTGAGAATAACTTTTTCCATGTACATTAGTTCTCCTCCATTTGAAATCACCCGTGTGCAAGGAACTTGATCCCATTTTCTCTTTTGAATTGTTACGGGAATTTGAATTGCTCTGTTGTTCAGTGCTTGAATTAAATAGGGGAAAACCGATTTCTTTTAGAACATTACCCTTCCAATTTGTCCTAATTTTCTGTTTGGTTCAGTTTTTCTCCAAACATTTAGAATAACAAGAATCTAAAGAAGAAGAAAAATGTTTTGGCTCAAAGTTTATAAATTGGTGGACTATAATTGGTTCCTAGTAACTTATAATGTCATATAGGTTTTAATATTTGATGGGGACTGCTGTCTGGGGGTCCATTGATTCCCTTGTTCTTGCAAAGAATCTTTTGCTGCTCTAAGTCCATTTCCTTTTATTTTTCATTGGATTAAGATGAATTAGGGAAGGAAGGAGATATAAGAGGAAAAGGGAGTACTTGGTAGTTGGGAAAGTGGCAAATTATTTTTTTGGTTTTTAATTTTTTTAGTAATTTTAAATATTATTTTTAAATAGAAAAATTAAAAATATTTAATAATTTAAATATTATTTAAAAAATAAAAATATAATGTATGTGTCATGTAATCTGAAGCTATCTTAACATGTAATCTAGGCTATGCTGCCTTTTTTAATTTTTGATTAATCATGAAACTTGAGAACTTTATAGTTGTCTAATCTCTGACTTGTATTGGATTGCAACAAAATTTTGTCCGCCTAAAGTAAATAAATTCAGTGGAACTGTCATTTATTGTGGATGCACCAACTGGATTGTGACTAATTGAACTACTAGTATAAGGAATTTGGAAACTTAAGGAAGAAATTGCTAAAGACTTCCAGCTAAAGGCCAAGGGGAGAGCAACATGCCCTGAGCCCTAAGCAGTTTCAGGGTTTAGGTGATTAAAACACAGCATTGCTACTACATGATACCTGTTAACTCTGTGGTGCTTTACTTCTTGGCTAGTGGAGATAAATGAAGTGAGATGAAGACCACAAAGGGAGAAGAGAAACAAAAAAGGGCAGGAATGATATTCACATTTAAAATTAATATGGTTATTTTATACAGTGGCGTCATTATTGATTAATTATATAGTGGGATAATATTTCTATGATAGACACCAAATCAAATTGCTTCTTTGTAATTTTTCCTTAAATGTTAACTGAGGTATTTTGTGCAGAGGAGGAGATTTTTTCTTGAAACACTAATCAGTGAAGAGAAGGAAAGCAGTTGTGATGAAGGGGTCTGGAAGATTAGCAAGAGCTCTTTATCATCAAAAGAGGCATGAACTTTTCGCACGAACTGATAATATTGCTCGTTTAAACTCTCACCATCCTGTACTTAGTGCAAAGATGTCCACCAGAACAACACTGCTTTATGATAGCAGAAATCAAATCACTCCCTATTCATCTTATTCACCATTGCTAAGATCTTCTATGCTCACTAGGAAGTGGACCCATTTGGGAGGTAGGTCATCTTTCATTGGTTTGTTTGTTTACTTTATGTAGGCTCTGGTTGTTTTGGAGAGAAATAATATGGAAATTTTGTTAGAGCTTTTTTTTTCAATGTTTATATGAATTTCATGATTTTAACTGAGCACATCATTTTAATTGCATATTTGATTTTTGATTTTTATTTTATTTGTAGTAGTTTTTTTCCAACCAGAAGCTAACCCTTTGGCCAACCCAATCTTCCACCGGATACACCTATGAAAATCTTTTCTTTATAGAATTATTTTCTTCCAGAGTCTAACTCCAGACAAACTTCTTGTACTTTTAGAGTACTAATAATTTCTGAGTAGTCCTTTCTTCCGTTCTGAACTTAACTTTGATCATTCTTCCTAATGAATCTCCATAGCCACTTACCTTATATTGCTTTGTTGATTCCATTGTCTTGATTTAACTATCAGGACCACCATCCTGAAATGGGTCTTTAACCATATGCTAAGCCACCTAGTGGAGGCTCCTTTTCTTACATGTTTGATTATGCTAAATGGTGAATCTGGTTTCTGTGTATTTTATGAATTAGTAAATGTTTGGTTTTACGAAAATGGCAAGAGTATTGTAACTTTATGTTTGCAATATAAATTTCATATGTGAAAAAATGATTTGGTTCAATTAATTCATCAAGGATATGGAACTTTGTCACATAAAATGTAAATTAAATTCATGCAATTTATCTCGTAATTATGTTCTGAAACTTTAAGGTTTTAGTTGTTGTTTACGGATATGATGTTGCTTTGGGCAGGGCAGAGGAGGAGCATGTTTGTACAAACTCAGTCCACGCCCAATCCTTCATCTCTCATGTTCTATCCTGGGAAGCCAGTTATGGATGTTGGTAGTGCAGATTTTCCAAATGCACGTTCTGCCATGAATTCACCACTGGCTAAAGCTCTTTATGGAATTGATGGTAACCTTTTTTATCTCTGTCTTTTAAATCATGCTAGGTTAAATGTTCCATAGTCACATTTCTGTGGGTTAATCTTGAAAGTTTTATATAGACATTAATTTGATTGACTTTGCATGGATTCAACATGTATCTCTGCAGCTCTGCTATGAATTTAACCAAATTTCTGAACTATTGGTATGAATGTTGCGTTGGAAAATGTTTATGCAGTGAAATTCTCAGAAGTTTAACTATGGATCTTGTTAACTGTTCATTTAAACTTCCATTATGTTTCTATACTCAAGTGCCTACACCTCTCATGTAGGTGTTACTCGAGTTTTCTTTGGATCAGATTTTGTCACTGTTACAAAATCAGATGATACTTCCTGGGATTTCCTCAAGCCTGAAATTTTTGCAGCAATCATGGACTTCTATTCTTCTGGCCAATCACTGTTTCTTGATTCACAAACTGCAGCTGCCAAAGATACTGCTATCCATGAAGTATGTTAGTCTATTCTACTATGGCACTTTAAGGGCAAATAAGAGTTTTATTCCCTATAATTTGGTCTTCTCTTTTTAAAAGAAATGCTGTAGCTAATTTTGTAATATGTTAGTTAAATGGATTACCACCATTACTTCTTAGTCAGTCACCTCACATGCTTATAAGGCTGTTTGATTTTTGTTTGGTTTTTGTACTTTAAGCTCATATGGGTTCTGATGCTAATGCACTTTAAGCTGATAGTGTAATGCCTCAATTTTTTTTTTATAATTTTCGCGGCGTTACGATTACCCTGTTGGCATACGTGGTATAATATACATCATCTCATAAACAATTTAGGCCATCCATATGGAAAATGTTCAACACAAATCATTCAAATTACTAAAATCATTGTATATCTCTCAATATGGTAACTTACAATTTCACAACTTTTCGTTTCAAATGAGTTATTTGTTACTAATTATCTAAGTATTTCGTTTCCCTATCCACACTCCCTGCTCCGTCATCTCTACCCGCTAAGTTCGGAAGTATGTAACTCTGGTCCAGCTTCCGGTATTATATCATCTGTAAACGATAGGAAATGAGCATATAGAAACTCAGTAAAATAAACTCAAATTATAAATAAGGTACGGCAAACCAGCTAAATGCCTATCCTCCTAGATCTCCACTTCTATTGGTCATGCCATATTTCCTACCCACACTCTTATCTCCTTGTTCACCTATCCTTACTGTAACTACATCATCTCCTTAAAGAGAATCATCAACTCTCCCACTTCTTACCATGTGAGGTCACCATGTTAGACCATCTCAACATTTCCCACGTACCTGTCCATACGACCCTAGTTCGGTCACTCACCCACACAATCACTCCCAGATAAACCCCCCCCCACAGCTGTCACCAATATCAGCGACCCCTATTTGTCACAACTCGACCCCTAGTACCAACAACCAGCAATAGCCAACATCGACTTATTTAGCCACCAAGAATATCACCGGTAGAGTTATACAATTTCTACAATAATAGTTCAACAACACACATGCACGCATATTCAATAAACAAAGAATAATTCATATAAATATACATATTCAAAAAGTACATAAACTAGCTCATACTAACATCCACACACATGTTCATTCAACAGCATCCACATACACACTAATTATCCCCATCCTATAACTTTACATACTCATCTCCTCTCACTGTGTCACACCTTCTTATCTCCCCCAATTGCCCCTCTCGAACCATACACACACACACACACTTCTCTCATTTATGTCTTTCTCTCTCTCTTATCCCCTCCAAGTGTCCCTCTCGGGCTACTCCCTCACACTAATATAATTCCCCCTCACTCTCAGTGTCATCTCTCTCTCTCTCTTATCCCCTCCAAGTGTCCCTCTCGGGCTACTCCCACACACTAGTATAATTCCCTCTCACTCTCACTATCATCTCTCTCTCTCAACTCCTTCCAGTGTCCATCTCGGACTACTCGCTCTCACCTATATCTCTCTCTCACGATTTCCCCAATGGTTCCTCTCAAACCGCCCCTATATTCACAATCACCAGTATTAGTCCACTCCCAGCCTTACTTCAGAAGTCCTTAAATTTCCTCTCTCGTTGGCGATAAATATTCACCTATGCACTTATTTTTACCTTTCCTAGCCCAAACTCTATGTTAATCCAACTTCCTCTCCTGGTGGTGACGATGTACATGGATCGCACTCCTGTTCGTAATTCCCGCACGGTTTTCATCACACGTTCGCCTACCAGATTTCTCACTCCCTATTCAGTCTCCTCCCGACTACCTATGAGTCATTCCTCCTTCTACGGCGCCCTAGCCTCTCCGTTGATCCACTCCCTCTCGACTGGAGTTCAAATCATCAATATGTATTTCCAGATAAACATTTAACTATAATCTGCCATTTTCATTGTTTGAAATTTAAGTTCACAATATCTTCTGTCTCCATCGTCCTCCACAGCTACAATTCACTAACTCACCTTAATCGTCTCCTCCTTCTTCGGCTCTCCTCTCTCAATCCTCGACCGACTGCCTCATTCCCTCTCTTGTTGTCTCTTCCTTCTCCGACTCCCTCTCAAATTTCTCTCGACTGTCTCCTCTTTTCTTTTCCTTTTCTCTTCTTTCTCCTTTCTTTTTCTCCTCTCTTATTTTTTTCTTTTATTTTTTTCATCTTTTCCCCCTCCTATTTATACTTACCCTGCTAAACATCACAACCGTCCATTCCATTCCCCAACCCTTTAATCTAAACCGTTTCTTCTCACCCCTCCCCCTCTTGCATGCATATATATTTCATTATTAATATTATTGCTTATTATTTATTTATTTGTTTATTTTATATATATATATATATATATAACTCAGTTATTATAGATAGTGCTTTAAACTTAGAAAATGTTTGGATATCTCACTTTTTCCCTTAATTTTTAGACTAAAAAATATTCAAGTGTTTTGTAAAATTTAGAGTTTCAAACTGAAATTGAATCAAATGATAAGAAGTACAGTTATTTTTCTTTTAATTAAAAGTTATCTAAGTGTATTAAAAAAAGTTATCTAAGTTTACTTTTTATATGAAGAATACTTAAACATAACTTAAAATAAAATCTATCAACAAAAGAATTCTAATTTTTTAATCAAATTCAACTATTTGAGATATGTTGTTAATTTTTATGTAAATTAATTATGTTTATTGTAGAAAGAGGTCACTGAAATTACTAAGTAAAAGATAGTGATAGGGTTGTAATTTTTTATTTTGATTTGGGGTATAGTGGTCCGTAGCTATGGTCAAAGAGGTCAAAGACTCTCTACTTAAAACACTTTCATGTTTTGGTTGGAAAACATTTGATCCTCTCAATTTTGTGTCTACCAGCTATTCCTCAATTTTATACTATTTCTTTTATTTTTTTTTGAAGTTGTACCTCTTTGAGAGTTGTTCACTGCCTGATAGGCCGAAAATATTAGATTTGAATAATCAAATTCGCGTTCTACATGCCTTCAGAGTGATATCCTTCGTGAACTCAGTAGAAAATTGTACTACTGCTATATACCATAACCCTCACATCACCAGAGTAAGACAGTTGACGAGGATAGAAGCATAAGAACCAGAGACTTGGTATTCAGAACTGGAACATAGAATTTGAAGGGTAGATTTTCTTCTGTTTCCATTTTCATGAATCTCATAGGATTGCCATTTTATAATTGCCTATGCAGGATGACTCGGAAACTGTTGCGATGATTAAAGAGCTGCTGGAGACTCGTATTCGGCCAGCAGTCCAAGATGATGGTGGGGACATCGAGTATCGAGGATTTGATCTGTAAGTTTGTAATAGAAAATGTGATCATTTTTTTTCTCTCAAAGAGTTACTGGGTGCTAACTGCCAAGGAAATAGTACATAACATGTTTTTTGTTTGCATGGCTTAGCATTAATTGCATCTCACATAATGCATTATGTAGGGAAACTGGTATAGTCAAACTGAGAATGCAAGGAGCTTGTAGTGGGTGCCCAAGTTCTTCTGTGACTTTGAAATCTGGGATTGAGAACATGCTGATGCACTATGTACCCGAGGTAACATTGCTACAATAGTACATTTGCTATTTTGGATTTATTCTACAATTTCCCTCATAATTATCAAACTAATATACTTGTACTTGTCTATTACTAGCTCTTGCTGAAGTATAACTAAAATAACAGTTTATGTGCACAAAAGTGAATACCTTGATAAAATTCCACAACAAGGAGGTCATTTATTAAATGTGAGCTATAATCACTGCTGGCTTGAACATTTATCATTGTTCCTTTTGCTAATGTGATTAAAATCCACTTAGGATAACAGAGTTCAGATGATCTGTACATTGAACTTGGAGAAGCTTTGCTATCCACCTGGTACTTCATTAGCATAGGTCACAAAAAGTGCCAGTAGATTGTAGATTCTGTTAAATACCTTGTTTAATCTTTTGAAAGGTGTTAAAGAATAAACAGTTGCAACTCTTTCTCTTTCTCCTTAAGTCTCTCTATTTAATCTCTGATTCCCTTTCTGCTTCCGCTCGTGCTCCTGCCTGCATGTTTGTCTCATCATGTGAAGACATGCAAACTTATATTATTTCCAACTCAGTACTTCAACGAAGCGATGGCGTCTGTTATCTCATTTGGGTTTAGATATAGCTTATGTTATATTTTGGCAGAGCATTCAACACAGCCAGGAGTAGTCATACTCATCTGGTAGTGACCTTGGTAGGAATTAAGCTTGCTTTTTTGGTATTTGCTTATACGAATCTTCTGCACGCACAGGTCAAAGGCGTAGAACAAGAATTAGATGCCGAAAATGAGGATCCAGCATTAAGTAGCCAAATGGAGTAGTTTGGTTCTGCATAGCAGAACTAGATAGTGTGTGAGCCCAGAGAAGACTTGTTTTTTTGTCTTCATGTACAGAAGCAAATAAAACTGCGGGCCATTTATCGGCACAGTAATATGTTGTTGCTTCTGCAAGTCAGTTGCCAGAAAGTGCGTAATCAGAAAAGCATCGAGCTAATGGATCTCTGCTACACGCGGGAAAATAGCTGCCGTTGTGATTACAATCCATTACATGCAGAATTTTGGAGTTCTAATTCTGTCGTGCTAGTTTCATTACAGGATAATAGATTACATATATTGTGAAGTTAATTGCTTGCTTTGTTTGGATTAATTGTATTCCTTCTTCATGCATCATTTATATCATACACGGGTCTGACATCGTTGCTGCAAAAATATTTAGGTTAAACAGATTAAACAAACCTGCTTGATGCTCTTCTATTTAGAAACTTTAACTGTGCAAAATTAAATTTAACTGGTTAAATTGAACTGATTTAAAAAAAAAATTGGTTTAATTCAACTGATTTCGACTAATCTTTATTGATTTATAGGTTACTTTTTTTGTATAAAATTTATGTAACTGAACTCTTATATATTTAAATAAAATATAAAATATATGTTATATATTATATATCATAAAGTATATATGTTATAACAATATGCTAGATGAAAGTATATGTCTATAACACTATATATATAATATGTAAGTAGGATATTGAAATTTGAAATTAAAAAAGATAAAAGTTTGTAATTTAGCCCAAAACTAACCATTTTGTTAGTCCCAAAGCCAAATTTATCCCAAACTTGAAGCCCAACAAGCATAACCCTGGCCCATATAGCCAATGCCCTCAAGACCAAACGCCACCGTTTAGATGCTTGGTCTTTTCCTTCATTCCTGCTGCTGGACAACAAAGTAACAGAAAGAGAAAGAGCTGCGGATACATACGGTGGAACAGGGAGACAGACACAGAGCGAACGGGAGACAGAGAAGCAAAGAGCGAGGACGACTGAGGAAGAAAGTAGTACGCGTCTTAGGCGGCTCGCACAAGGAAGAAACAAGAGGAAAGGAAAAGAAAGAGCCTCTACTAATTTTACTATTTGAAAAAGCTTTCAAAAAAGACGGACGAGAGAGGGTGACCTGAGAGAGAAGAGAGGGAGACGCGGCTTAGGAAGAGAAAAAAGGAAAAGAAAGAGGAGGCGATTTTGGGAGAGAGTTAGTAAAAAAAAAAAGAGAGGAGTCTTTGATTGAAAGCAAGACTCCTGTTGCTTTTTCTGTTTCTGTTTTTCTTCTTCTTCAGTTTCCTTGCTGCTTGTCTATTACTTTTAAAATAAAATTATCCCTTGTCCAGGAAGTTTGTGAATTAAAAGGGTATGTTCTTTTTCTACTTCAGAACTTTTTAACTTACAAGCCTACCTGCTGCTTTGTCATAGTTTTGTATTAACAAAACCAGTAGAGGGAAATGGCAAACAGCAAATACGAGTATGTCAAGTCATTTGAAGTAGAAGTTGAAGTGATGCTGCCTAATTTGATTGTTGTTCGGATAGATGGTTGCAATTTTCGCAGGTAAAGCCTCCTCAAACTATTATTTGGATGTACAGACTACTGTTATTTGGCTTCACCTTGTTATTAGTTTTAGTGGGTTGTTTCTTTTGTTCCCGAGCAATGCATGTGACTTGACGTACTTTGGATGATTCAATATATTAGTTCTTGGTACAGATCATCTCTGCTTCTAATTAAGGTCGAAATTGTTGATTTGCTTAGCATGATAATCTCCTATGCCTTAAAAATGGAAAAATTGGCTTGGATAGTCTACATTCGAGTACCAAGATCCTTGTTCCTATTAAATGCTTAGCGAATTGGAGACATGTCTTGCGGAT